GGGAGATGCAGCAAGCCTGGGGACAGGCAGAAAACCAAGCCTAGCCACTAAAAGCAAACGAGCGAGGAAAGGGCGGCCAGGGCTACGTTCCCAGCACTGTCAGAGACTATGCGTGTGGGCAGGGACAGCGTACAGGCAGCCTCCCTGCCTGCAAAGGCTGATTTGAAACGCGGCTTGACTCCGGACTGGGAATGCAAAGGCGCATCATCACCACAACCTCCAGCTCTGCCCTGGCTGTGCCCAGCATATGCCCACGGCACTCACAACAGAGCTCAGGCTCCCCAGGGACTCCTTTTCAGCCAGCCTGCTGCCTTCCCCGGCCCCTCCAGATACTCACGTCCCTCCGCAGAACTCAATAGAAGTGATGGAGCCCGCGGGGCCAGAGGGGTCAGCCAGCAGCTCCTCCACAGGGATGCCGATCGAGACCACACGGACAGGATCGGGGTAGGTCTCGTCAAAAACTGCCCGCAGTCCTTGGATAGCTTTGGCTGCTGCAAGAGGGCAGTCCTTGGCGTACACAGTCTGCAGAGGACAGGAAAGGGACGCAGGTAAGAGCTGGTCCTGTCAGCTGTGACTGAGGGCCTGCGTTCCCAGGGAATCCCGACTTCCTCCAAAAGAGCCTAAAAGGGAAGTTACGTGCCTCACCTGCGCTGGGGTTTGTTGAGCTGCAGGGATCCTAAAGTCATTGACAGATGCCCCATCTTCAAAATTCCTGATACCACTGCCTGCTCAGACCCACCGTGCTCCTGTACACTCAAATGGTTTCTAACCACAGACTCCTGAGCAGAGCACAGGGTCCTGCAGGGTCTGTTCTGACACAGGGTTGGCACCAGACAGAGTAACTCTCTCGCCGTTGAGGACACATCACTGGAGGGTCTGGGTTTACGTTGTAAATCCAACCAGGCCTGCTCTGCCAAACTTCTTGGCTCTTGTAGCTAATGTGACACTAGAGCAGGCAGGGAACCACTCCAACCCTAGAGAGGGCTCGGTACCAACGAACAGAGCAGTCTACATGGAGTTTTCCCACTCAAAACCCTCTGAGGTGATGCCAATCTGCACACAGTACCACATCAGCAGCTCAGAAGACTCCTGCTGGGCCAGACATCCAGCACCCCACATCATCCAAAAACTTGACTCGAGGTATTTTTTTTCTTGAGTATTTCCAACCCGTCAGCCATACCCACCTTTGCCTCCTCAATCATCTGGTTGGCAATCCCTTCGACTTTCTTGATTTCCTGGGTAGACAAGGCTCCCTTGGCTGTGAAGTCGAACCGCAGCCTGTCCGGTGCGACCAGCGACCCTCTCTGGTCAGCTTCCCCCAACACTGAGCGCAGGGCGAAGTTGAGGATGTGGGTGGCCGTGTGGTTGCTCATGACTGGCCTCCGCCTAGTCTGATGGAGGAAGTCACTGTTAGATGGGGTCCTGCACTGCGGAGCCAAGATCACCTCTAGCAGCAGAAGTGGAGGTTGACACGCTGCTCCAACAGAAACCAAAACCAGCTCAGGAGACCAGAAACAACTTAGCACACTAGCTGCCTTGGAGCCTCAGCTAAGGGAGCAGGACATTCCCCACCAAATTTGTGTATGGCTTTTCCCTGGCAGTCCCCTTGTTAGGCCTATCTGCAGAGAGGCCAAGGACAGACCAGGTCACAGACACTCAACAGCAAGAAGCGCTGCAAGATGGGAGTCTTCCCTCTTGCTCCAAAGGTGCCGCCTCTACAGGGAAGGGAAATGCATTCTGCAGACTAGGCTCAACCCAGCACTCACTCAGCAGGCTGCGCCCGCTGGAGCGATGTCTGGAGTGGGGCCAACAGCCCCACTGTCATCCACAACGCAGCGGAGCACCATACCTGCTCCACCACGACCCAAAACGTGTTTCTGCTGCTGGTCGGCAAAACCCCCTGAGCATGGCTCTGAGCCAGCGGGGCGTTATCTGCCTCGTGGCAAGAGAAAGCCAGGTGCCAGGAAGGAGAGGCCTCGAGTCAGCCAGACTGGAAGGGCCACGCTGCTTGCCTGCATCGTGTGCCAGAGGGAGAGCAGGCCCCAAACTCCAGGCCACCCAAGTGGCACCAATGGAAACAAAGGAGGCAAAATCCAGGGAAAACAGATGGCCTCATCTCTTATACCATGTCTTAACTCACCTCATCAATAGACAGGTGGACCTGATCTCCTACTTTCAAGCTTCCATATAGAGTTCCTATGTGAAGCACGTAGCCTCCTCGGACCTGCACGTTCTTCACCGTGAATTCTGTTTTCTGTACAAAGAGGGAAACGCACCCAATGAGCAGGGCGAGAGGCCAGGGGGAGACAGACGGTCCAGCCAGAGGTCTGAGCTGCAGCTGGAAAGGTCTCAGCTGAGAGCCAGACTGGTGTGTGTGATAGGAGAAAGCTGAGTGTCCCCAGGCACAGCACACAGGGCCGCAAAGCGGAGAAGAGAATGAAGGTGGGGCATGGTTATGGGGCACAGCAGAGCTGAAAGAGCTCCCCATCATGGCTCGAAACCTCTGTCCTTCTGCACGGCAATCCCAGCGCCACCACCGCAGGCACCCGCATTCTGGTGACAGCCTGTCGCTGCAGCACAGTTCCCCAAGAAGCAAGGGGAACAAAACTCCAGCACATCTGTGCACGCTGCACACCCCCCCCCCGAAAAGGAAACCTGTGCAATGCCTGACACCTGCCATGGACAGGAAATTGCTGGAGCTTGCTTTGGCCCCTTCTCCTTCTCTGCACACACCTGCCCAGGCCCCAGGTCAGACTGAGTCTAGCGAAAGGCTCTCAGGCCCACTCACATCCTCCCTGCCGTCATCGTCCTTGACCATGTAGCCCTCGTCATAGATCTGCCCTCCCTGCTCGGCGTAGAAGCAGGTCCGATCCAGCACTATCCCACACTCCTGGCCAGTGGACACCTCCTCCACAAACTTCTTCTCCCTGCGGATGGCTTTCACTGTGGCCACGAGGCTCCCAAAATCTGTCACCGGGACGACAGGCAGTGTCAGTAAAACAGGAGAACTTTGTAGACACCACATGGGAGCAGAACTTCATAGCAACACCTCCCAGCTATTGCAGGAGCTCATGGCAGCTACATTTGCAGGGGGTAAGGAGAAAGAACTAGGGCGACAGTTAGTTGGATAAGAGGGAATTTCAGTCAGTGCTCTCCAAGGCAGGACTGTCACCTCCTTCCATGTGTGTCATGTGTGCTGCTACGAGCCTGGGGCCTCCCGAGTCTCCAACAAACTGAAGAATTAGCAGCAAGAGCCAGAGCAAGTGGGCCAAGGACCCTCTAACAGACCAAGCAGAAACTGCAGTCTCCTGCAGCACTGGCAAAGGAGCAGCTAGGAAACACAAACATAGGAGTGTGGAGACACGAAGCTGCAGGGAACAGGAATTCCCTTAAGTTGGCAGCAACAGACCTGAAGAGTACAGCAGCCCTTGAAGTTTTTTTTTCCCTGCTCGATTTGTTACCAGCAGGCTATTAACCTGCACACATTTCCACTCCCGCCTCCATGTCCCAGGAAAGGTGAGGCCAGCGGGGATCTTGTTGAGGTACATGCCAGGAAAGGTTTGGCAGCAGAGGATGATTCTGAGAAGGGAAGGTTTTTTCATACCGTAGGCACCGCTCTGATCTGAAGCATAGCTGTATTTTGGGGAGTCGTCAGTCACCTCCAGCCCTCGGGCCCTCAGCTCTTCGATGGCATAGATGTCCAGCATGAGGAGGTCCTCCCCTCCGGCACCCTTCCCTTGGGATTTGAGCTGCCAACGACAAGCACCAAAGTTTGAGAAGACCCACCTCAGCACTGGGCCGTGCACGCCAGCCTAGTTGCACACCTCACTCGCATCCCTGAGAGCTCCTTGGTCCAGAGCTTTGCTCTGGGAAGCCGTGTGCCAGCAGCTGGAGTGCTCCCATCTTTTCCGACTTCAGAGCAGGCTGTTCCAGCGCTACCAGCCGGCAGACAAGGCAGGCCTGAGCCCAGCAAGGGCAAGGCAAGTACCCAGCCAGCCGGTCGATGCCACTCTCTGCTGCTGCAGCAGCAAACTGTTGGGAGAGGCACCCAGGCTGCAGGCCTGCTTGGACACTGCTCCTCGGACAGGGAAGTCCCAAACTTCCCTATCCAGAACAGGACAGTGGGGAGGTGCTCCCAGCACTCCACCAACTCTGTCTGAAGGCTGAGCTCGCGGTCCCGGGCCTCACAGTGTTAGTGAGCAAAACCAGCCCCAGCTGCACAGAAAAGACATGTCCCACAACTGCAGTGCCGTGCCCTGGTCCTTCCCACAGGGCACTGGGGCACGCGGGGTGTGAGCAGACCCGGTAAGAAAGGACCAGACTCATGACTGCGAACTACAAGGAAGGGAATCCTCCCTGCCCACTCTCAGACCAGCTCCCCCTGGAGCTGTTATCCACCTGCGCATTTTTCCGCTCTTCTTCAAAGCCCTCCATGTCCACAACAAGGCCCTTCTCCTCTGCAATCAGCCCAGTGAGATCCGCAGGAAAACCGTAGGTGTCATACAGCAGCCAGGCAGTATCACCTTCGGAGAAAAAGCAGAGCAGTCGGCACTCCTGACCGTGAGACACCGCTCCTTTTCCCCGCTCTCTGACCGGCTCTGTCCCACCCGACTGGCTCGGCGCTATGGCAGGACAGGGAACAGGTCTGCTGAACGTGAACATGTCAAAAAGGCTCCTCATTGACAGCACAGAGATCACACCATCATGTCGTGTCTGGGCAGCTTAGAAACCTGGGCAAGTGAATGCGGGCCAGAGGAGAGAGGGGTGGCCCAGCTCTGAGCAACCGCCTTTTGACTCCAACTCTGTGCCCTCATGCCTTCCACTCTCTCTCAGTTCCCAGCCCAGCTGAGCCCTAACTCGGTCCCAGATGAGAAATGCCTTTTGGTGCATCCAGACAGAAGTCACAGCCTTACCAGGGATGGTTTTACTGTCTCCCAGACTCTGGATCTTCCTGTCCAGGATGCGACGTCCTCTGCTTAGTGTTTTCAGGAACTGATCCTCTTCTTCATTGATAATGTCCTTCACCATATCTGGGTCCTTCTTCAGCTCAGGAAAGGCATCTCCCTGCAGATCCAAGAGGATTAGTCCTTCAGCATGGAGATCCGCACGCATCAGCAGAGGAAGTCTTCAGCAGATAGAGTGGAGCGGGGGAAGAACTTACCAGTGACTGCACCACCACATCAACCAGAGTAGCAAAGAAACCCTTGGGGGCATTAAGCTTCTCGTGGGAGTAGCGCACAGCCCGTCGGAGAATGCGCCTCAGCACATACCTAGGGAATAGCAGAGCCCCTCATGCAAACGTTACACCTCTGAGCTGTTCTCAGGGGATGCACCAGCACCCACGAGCCAGCACCCCCTCCCAGGACCAAGGGCACAGGGTTCTCTCCCCACATTTTCTCTCAAGTAGCTGCTCACACCGGCAGCAAGCCAGAGGTGAGGTGCCAGGCCCCAGCTCCGTGACCCAGACTCACGGTATGCTTAAGAGTCAGTCCTCTGAGTCCAGCGGCACTCACAGCACAGCCCCCCTGGCCCAAACTTCATCATTTTGTTTTGACAGCAGCACTGCACCAAGCAGGGTTTTCTGCCTGTCTGCCCACAGTGATCCTTTCTGGGGGCTGACACAGCAGGGCTGGTATTCACAAGAACCCTCAGGCCTGTGTGTCTTGGCCTTTTGGGTGGACCTTGCTACAGGGATTCAAGCGTCAGATATACTGAGCGAACACTCTGCTATCCTCTGCTTTAATGATGGATTCAAACACATCCCAGAGACCCATGAGATCCCAGACCCCTCAGGGAAGACGTGCTGAACAGCATGGGAGCGGCAGCATCGCGGCAGCTCCCTTCTTACCCTCTGCCAGTGTTGTCAGGTCTGCCCCCATCAGAAAGGGCCAGCGTGATGGTCCGTGCATGGTCAGCCAGCACGCGGTAGGCCATGTCTATACCGTCGGCGTCCTCAGCACCAACTTGCCCCATGTATGGCCTGGCACCCGTGCCCTGTGCAGAGAGGAGAAGGCAGTGGGCAAAGGGGACGATTACGGACAGCAGGGAGCGGCAACATGGCAGAATAACAGGGAAGCACCTCAGAAGCCAGCCCCATCCCACTGCCCGCAGCCACAGACTCCGGCCTGGCATAGCCTGCCCAGCCAAGAAACTTCAAACTCTGTCATGTGGGAGAGGGTCCCCTTTTAGGGTGTTTTTATACCCAAGAGAAAGACAACACTATAACAAAGCAGTGCTTGCATGTGGTGTAAGCCTGTCACCATGGGCACAGTCCCTACAGCCAGGCTCCCAGCACACTGCAGGAAGGCAGACAAGGACGCGTGGGCTGTGTCCAGCCGGTGGCTTTAACGTCGAAGAAAGGCAGCCCTCTAATTCCAACTCTGGAGCTCTGCACCTCATTCCTCTCAGAGGCAGCAGGAGCCTGGGCTCTTTTCCCTGCATTTTTTTTCCAACATGATCTGCAGCCAGGAAGCTCTGCCCCTTCCACTGAGAAAAAAAAAAAAAGGCTTGGACTTGCACACAGAATTCCCAGCACTGGGAACACGGCCCCCACCCAGGAAGACATGCAGCAACAGCACTCTGGTTCTGCAAGTGACTGTCATGGTTTATGGCAAAGACCTCTTCTCTCAGGGGATCTTCTACAGAGCAAGTTCCAGGTGGTAGACTGAAGGACAAACTCTGATTCTGGGCCAGCAGCACCACATGCTCTCTACCACACGGCAAAAAGATGGCCCTTGGCCATACAGGACAGCAGAGCATCTCCCACTCGGAGAGAACCAAGGAGCGTGCCATCAGGACAGTTCACAGGAAACACCTGGGAAAGCTGCACCGTTCATTGTCCCATGTTTTCCCCCAGAAACATGCCCCATGGCAGCAGTTACTGTGCCAGCCTGCGTTCCTACCCTCAGCAAAGTACAAACCCGCAATGCTCGCAGCAGCTGGGAAAGCAGAGACCTGCAGACGTAACCGCCCTGTCCGACCAGCCCCACGCCATCTCCTCAGGGATTCAGGGAATGGACGCAGCTGGGTCAGGCCCAGACCCAGACTCCCCAGTTCGTACCTTTTGGATGGCTTCAAAGTAAGGAAGGAAGAGGTCGGTGTCATAGTTGGACATCTTGTTCTGCAGCACAGAGCCCAGCCTCTCCAGGCCCATCCCAGTATCAATACTTTTCTTAGGAAGAGGTTTCAGTGTCCCATCAGCTTCCCTGCCCAGCCACAGAAAGAAAGATGAGCTGTTGTGGATGGAGGCTCTGCAGGGGCAACCCCCCTCTCTCTCCTCATCTTCACGAGATTTTGTTCCATCAGATTTATGACACGGGCCCGTACACAAGCCACACAAAGGACAACTTTGATAAAATACAGTTAACAAGACCCTCAATGACAACTTAGACCCAGAGCGGGATGGCACTTATTCCCTACTGAACTCCCGGCAGATGAACTGAGAAAATACTTCCAGTCTGTCCCCAAAGCCAGTGTGACCGACCTCTTCTGTACAGGTGGGTCAGGGGACAGAGCATCACAAAGTGGACAGCTCCTGGACAAGAGGGAAGGGCGAGCAAGCCAGGGGCAGTTAAAACAGTGCGCAGTCCGAGCAACCCCCCCACGCCGAGCTTGGAGCAGCCTGGGGAGGGAAGCAGGTCTCGCTCACCTGTTGAACTGTATGAACACCAGGTTCCAGATCTCCAGGACGTTGGGGTCATCCTGATTGACCAGGTGCGAAGCATCTCTGTCCCCGATCCGGTCATAGTGGATCTCGCTGCAAGGGCCACAGGGGCCTGTGTCTCCCATTTCCCAGAAGTTATCCTTCATATTGCCAGGCAGAATCCTGCCCTCAGCCAGACTGTAACAAGAAACTCTTCTTGAACAACAGAGACTTACTGCAAGGCAAGAATTCCCCCAGCCAAGGACCATACCAGAGAAGTCTCAGCTCATTAATTCCCTGGATGAGCAGACAAATCGTCAGGGTCCTGAGCCAGACGAATAAAAGATCCTGCCACCCAGGTTCCCTGCTGAGGGGGATCAGGCGAGCATCAGCACCTGGCGCCGGCCCCAGATGGAGGCAGAGGCCTACATAACACCTCAGCGAAGCCACCAGCAAGAAGACAGGCGGATCTCTGACTTCAATACACGCGAGGCGGGTTTGGCCCCACAGCGCAGAGGTGTGTCACGGGGTCAGTGGCAGGTTTCAGAGGGGGCTACAGCCACAAGACCAAAGGCATCATTTCACTGCTACGTCAAGCTTTGGCCCACCCACAGCTTATAACGTTGAGTGCGGTTCTTGCTTCCTCATCTCAAGGAGGGTGAGGCAGAAGTAGCAAATGTATAGAGGAGGGCAACTAAAACCACCTGGGGGTGGAAGATCTGCCTTACAAAGAGAGTACAGAAAAGAGTAGGACTCTTCAATTTGGAGAGGACAAGGCTGGGTGGGAGACTACGATTGAGATTTAGAGAAATCCAACAGGTTCAAAACAGAATCAGACGTACTGTGAAGGAGCAGGGCCCCAAACAGAGGCTAAGGAATAGATTGATCACCCTCTAACAAACTAATCCAGTGACTGTGCATGCTGGGAGGGGAGGAGGAGGAGGAAAACAGAGTGCAGGTCACAGTCAAGCGTGCCTGCTTCCCCTGAACAGCATCTTCTCAACTGCTGTCAGAAGCAGCACGCTGGGCTGGACGGATCATTGATCTGACCCAGCAGGGCACTTCTTACGTTCTTAAGCTTACACAAGAGATTTTGAAACAAAAGCTCTCAGTCTCTTCTATCCAATACCACTACTTCCCTTTGGCTTTGCAGCTCCGCCACCCTGCAAACATTATTTGTGACACTTCAATTTTGTTAAAACCTCCTGTTATATGTGCTCTGCCACATAACACGTGCCATCTTTCTCTGAATGACTACTGCTCATCAAAACATGCACCTTCCTCACTTAAAGGCCTTACCCCAAATTCAACCATATCTGCTTGCACTCCAGGTCTGGTTGCAGTCCCGCAGCCTCATTTCCACCAAAGTAAGTGACGTAGAGTCTTTCAGCAGGGATGCCGAACTCCTTGGTGAGAAGGTCCAGTGCCAGTTTACAAGCAAGCTCCTGCAGAAGGAAAGATGAGGTCAGCAAGTGAATGCAAACAGAGTTTCTCTTCAACGTGCAGCACCTGCACACGCAGAGAACTGGCTGCTGTAGGTATCAGCAGCTCTCTACAAAGAAACAGCCAAAACCTTTAGACTTTTGGCCTAAGAAACAGGCAAACCAGTATACGCAGTGAACAGGGCACAAGAAACATCTCATATGGCTTTCCAGATGCAGCCAAGTTAACTCCTAGCATGTTCGCTGCCCCAAAAAAGCCTCTGAATTCTGCTGTTATGCTGCATTCTTAACATCACCTTTGCAAATACGAACCCTACACTAGCAAGACGCTTGGGAAAGGATGTTGTTATTTTATAATCACTCCTGTTTGAGGTCCATCATAGTTGCATAGCACATGCAACTCCCCACAGCTCCAGGACAGCCACTAAAACCTCTGCCTGAAGACTCCAAACTGGCAGAGTCAATATAATCAGCTTTGTAAACCTTAAGTAATTAATCTCAAAACATTCTGCAGGGTCCAGGCAGCTTCCAAGCTCATTTACTCCAAAGGAGCCACAGGCACCTTAGGAACCACTCTACGCCAAGATATTCTCTCTTCCTCTTGGCAATTGCTCTGCTGAGTTCACAGAGATGGGTAACTTTGTGCAAGAGATTCAGAGCTGCACCTAGCCTATTTTACCTTGAAATAATCCCCAAAGGACCAGGACCCCAACATCTCGAAGAAGGTGTGGTGGTAGACATCTTTCCCGACGTCGTCCAGGTCATTGTGCTTGCCCCCTGCTCGGATGCACTTCTGAGTGTTGGTAGCTCTGTTCAGTTTAGCGAGCGGGTGCGAGGGGTCAATAGTATTGAGGAAGATGGGTTTGAACTGGAGGAAAGAAAAAAGGGCAATCAAGAAAAGCACTAAAAGCCTGTTTTCAAATGTTGCAAGCAACAGTGTTATCTACGTCACGATACCACTAGCCTGGACATACCCGAGGCAGCTTTCAGAAACGACAAGCCTGCTGTCTCCTGCGTGAGAGGAGGCTGCAGCACTGCCTATTACTTAGCACTCACACACACACAGAGGTGTTCCTGAAGCCTACCCCAGGACTTCCAAAGGGACTGGAAGTAACCAGATTCCCAGCTGACCAGAAAAAAAAGTCAGTGAAAACTGCGCGCTGAACTCCAGCAGAGCCCTTTCAGCAGCCCATTTTTTCCGCTCTTTAAAGACACCGTTAGTCATTTGTGCCAGGACTAGCTGTGATACAAAGGGTCAAGGGAGACTGGCAGTGCTCCCATCGCTGCACAGACAGCCCAGCAGACACAGGAACCTCTCCCAGTGCTCTTGCCAATTTTGCCAGAGCGCAGAGGACTCCAGCAGACACACCAACCGCCTCTTTGTGACCAGAAGGAAGATGGAGAGAACAACAATAGTTTTCCACACAAACAGCTCTGCAAACACCTTCACAGGTTT